GCCCGCTGCAACTTTGGGCGCCGAACTCAACAACAATGAACGATATGGCCAGCTAAGTGCTAGTCCGGTAGAGAGCTTGCCTCGGGGTGGATCTGTGCCCGTGACTCCCGACGTGCCAAGCATCGAGGTTCGCTCTCCCCACTCTTCTGAACCACCAGCATGAAATGAAGACTTACGACTCGATCATGCAGATCTACGATGCAACCATCGCCCTCGCGATTTCATTGACGATGGCACAATTTCCCCCTTCTCGTCCATGACTGCAATATCATACCAGCTACAATACCCCTTTTGATGCACGAATCGCAAACGTAGTTGCGCGCCTCTCTTGCTTCATAGCACTCGAAACTCGTTCTTCATGTCTGTGCAGTCATCGTTTGGCTCCCTGCAAGCTCCTTGCCTGGCTAATACAACGAATGTTGATGATGAATTCTGATCAGAATGATTCCTTGCGCAAAGAGTGACGAGAGGGGGGAGTGTGGAGATGAGGGATTGGGTATGTAATGTCCGTCTCACGGCTGTAAAATCCTCAAAAGTCTTCACCGAGTACCACGTCCTCTACACGCATAGCGTTCGCTCGACTGCGCATAGCCGGCCTAGAAGGCTTTGCTGCGCTGGCCAACGAGCGTGCCGCCCTCTGAGTGGGGCGCAAGCGAGCGTGGTGATAGGGGAGAAGGGGGCGGAGACAAGCGAATGTCGGGCGCCTGCAGGCCAAATGTGGCGTTTTGAAATTCGAAATGCGGTCCTTCACCTGACGGTGGTGGTGATGGTAAGGGAGAACGATCTGCCAATGGTTGGAAAAAGCCGTCCATGGGGTTTGCTACCTCTCGGAGATGCGACCCTTTCCTGCGATATCCGCCCGTCATCGAAGGGAAGGGTGCGGGAGCAGATAGCGGTGACAAGGCAACGCCAGCCACCTCGAGGCTGGTCTGGTGTTTGTGAGGAGCTTTTGCGCGCGCACCCAAAAGGGACGGGCTCTCGAATTGTGCAGTCCCCAGAAGTTTTGCCAACTTGGCTTCTCTTGCTGCTGCCGCAGCCCGTTCAGGTGTGCTCATCTTTTGCAGCTTGAAATCTAGATTGCGCTCGTGAGCGCAAGACCTGAGAATGGGAGCAGTTGGCACATCCAAATTTGGCACCTTCATCCTGATCTTCTCGATGTCGCGAGCATGCGTGACGTTTCCACGAGCGCCCAAAGGTGAGGGTGAATGCAGCATCGCGTCTGGACCATCGACCTTCATCACGAATCTGACAGGACTGCGGTCGCGGGGTGGCAAAGGCGTCGCTACTGGGGAGGTCGTGATGCGAAGGCCAGGCGAGACGCTTGATGGCAATGGCGCATCCAGACTAGGACTTGAACGAGTGGAAGACTGAGGAGTCGGACTGGTACTCGAAGACGTCTTCGATAATACAGGCGATACAGACGCCTTGAGACCGGCGCTGCTGCCCGTGTGTGAACGGACGACCTGAGGTCTTGACGCTCTGGCCCTCGAAGCGGATCGTCCCGTTGGCGCAACGAAAGTGGCAATCTTCTCCTCCGGACTCGCGGCATGAACCTCCACGGGCTTTGCATGCATAGCAGAGCCGAGGTAGGTCGCTGCAGCCGACCATCCCGAGCGGAGGTGCCCCGGTAGACCACCTTGTCCACTGTGACCTTTGACCATTGAATGTCCGCCGTGCGGGTCATGCGTTTGTGGAACACTGCTCTTGGTCGTGACCACCAACTTGCTCTGATCGTGTGGTAGATATGAATCGCTAGACGGGAAGCGCTTGCTACCATTGCTGGATGCTGGAGAGCCACGAAGAGGTGGTGAGGACTTAGTCACGTCCGCCGCAACTACCTTTGCTTTCATGAGCATGCGCTGCACACCTGTGCTGTGCGCGAGATCTCCGTCGCTGCCCTTGCCTTTGAGTCGAGAGGATCCGAGCGCAGTGGACCCTGCAAGAGATGTCGTAAGGTCGCCGAGTGGCAAGTGGAGGTCTTTTTGCAAGCCAGGCTTGGTCGGCACCGTCCGCGTAGAGCTTGCAAACGGGATATGAACAGCAAGAGAGGGGCGCACTTGTCGAATGCGGGCCATGCCCTCCAATTTTGAGCCGCCGGACTCGCCCGAGGCTGAGGGGAGTAGGGGAGCAGTTTTGCCACTCAATGAGCTTGATCTTGCTCGGCCGTCTTCAGCGTCAGCGTCCGCTCGTCCGTGCGCGAGATCATTATAGGCCTTCTTCGAGTTGCTGACGAAATGCTT